AGGTATTAAATTTCACATAACTGCATCAATGATAGAATGTGAACATGCATATATCAGGTCGTGAATAAGCACTGATAAAACTTGATAATTTCTTACCTTAACTAAATGCCATATGTCGTCTGTCATGAACAGTATCAAAGTAGGTCAAAAACTGGTATTTTAAAATCTCTAGACAATAAAACATGGTCCAGTAAATAAAAAATCTCGGCAAAGTTAATACAAGGCGTATAATATGATTCTTGATCTAGGTTGTGCCATTTAAATAATCTTGTTGCGCCTGATTCTATCACAGAATATAATGATTGTTGCAATGTACCAATATCGATCATACATAAAAATGTTAATGACGAAAAAGTTTTCCTGTTAATTTGTTAATTGTGATGTCTGAAATTTTCAATTTGAGAAATTGACAATCTTTATAGGACACATACCTTACTTCTGTAATGCGAGTTATTTAGGCGTTGTGTCTGCAGATGAACTCTTTAATTACTAGTGATTGATTACTCGAATACAATATCGCTTCATTTACTATTTTCAGAAAGAAAAATATTTGTACCAATTACTTTACGGTTTCCACTACCTATTGTATTTAGAAGATTTCGGGTCAGAAAAACTAGATAAACTTCAAAACATGCGTACAGGTATATTGGATATTTTTAAAATGTGTGTTTGGACTGAAGATAGATTTCATAATCCATATACAAGTATCAGATTCAAATGAAGTAAGAGCGAGTGTATACCTGAAACACCTGTTAGCACAGGGTTCTTCTAATGAAAATAAGAACTCGTGGAATAGCAACCAAACGACTGTACCATTCAACCAGTCAAGTTTCAGGATATTCTTTCTTTTGATACTAGAAGCGACTGAGTTTTTTTGACAACATAATATCACATAACATAATATAATGTTATATATATATATATATATATATATATATATATATATATATATATATGGGTGGTAAGTACAAGGGGTCACTCTAGTCTATGTGGCTTTGTATATTAGTTGCGAGATTTCGAATGTCTGACAAAATATCGCTCTTCTCAAAGTTTCAGATAAATTCCAAAAATACAGAACCCAACTACTTCTGATTAATAGCTTTTAATACCTACAACAAGTAAATGAACATCCCAAGAAACTTACATGCGGACAAATATCTGACAGGAGTACTACAGCATTCAAAAAAGATGATAACCTACTGTCTTGAACTTTGAAATGCCATCCACAAAGCTACGTCGTTGACTACGTCTTATGGAAATGATATTTGTATGATTTAAATGCTGTTATATGTAGGCATATGCACTCTCCTTCTGACTACTTTCTGAATCAAAATGATCAATTTCCGTAGGCATATGGGCTTCCTAATATTGCCTTAGATCTAAGAGTAGTCTAAATTACTTGATGGTGGCTACCAGCGAAATATAAGACCCACATTTCACTTTATACAAGATTTATTGGTTGGATATAACTGCATCCAAGTGACAGAGGGTGCTCCTATTGTCACTCCAATCTAGCTGTATCGCTTGAAGAGAAGGATGTGGCGTATAATGCATAATCTCACCAAATTGCAAGGATTTAAAATCCGTAACACTGGAATAATGGGGAATATTTGTAGCTAAGGTAGATGGTCGTGGTTGTATTATGTTCTCTGTAACAACTTTTAGAAGTAAGGAAAAAAGAGTAGAAAGTAACTCAGAAAGAATAAAAGCAATTAGGATAAGGGAAAACAATGTCACAAACTCCGATGCTAGCCAATAACACAGTAGATGGTCCATTGATGAACCACGCCTAAAAATGAACGTTATGTGCATATTTAGTGACGAACCAACTCTTGTTTCGCGTTAATCCTTAGTATTGGATACAGACCTCTGCTGTAGCCACCGTTTAACGATGAGACAAAATAAAGTCTGAAAATTTATACTGCAAAGTTTTGTACACACGAATCACCTTGTTCCGATGCTGCAACGATAAAAATCAGATGAGTTAAAAGTTTTGGCTCACTAGAAAATAATCTTGTGTAGCAGTTTTAGTATTATTTTAATTCAAAAGGCCAACAAAGAAAAACCTTTTCCTGATCACTGATATACTACTTATATTTGGGTCAGTAGCAATAATGAGTTCCACAAATTATACATTCTTCCACAATATTGGTAAAACTAGTTTTAAAATTATTTTCTTTAACGTTTTAGAAAACTAATATCATGAAATGTAATGCGAAGAAAACAGCTCTTAGTGAAATAACCCCTTATTGAAATGGGGGTTGGGTTTGGTTTGTCTGGAACATGATCACATTTATTTTATTTCCAAGTTGCCAAGACAGTTTATTTGACTTCTAAGCTCCTGGTGTACTTCTGTACAAAGCCTTTTGGATATGCATTCTTAGATAAAATTCCTTTCAAAACCTGAAATTCATACTCAGAAGTTCCGTAAGAACAACTGTTCTTCACTTCACCGAATAGTATCGTAGCCAAAATAATTTTCGCACAGCATCAGTGACTAGTTGTTGAAGTACAAATACTGTCTCATCAATGATTGCATTTCGTACCCAAGCCTCTCTATGATAAAAACAAAGCAGTGTAGTTTTACGTACATTTAGAGACGTCGTGCGTTAAAGTGACACTAAGATGACCAGCGACAGAACATTTAGTCTTCTTCATTTACAAAACCAGCGGTTTTTACAGATTAACGGATTTCAAATTAGTTTATCTCATAGACTGAAATCAGGTGAAGAACAGTCGAAAACCGGGGAACACTCGAGTGTTTTTTGTCCGGATTCGGTACTCCTTAGCAGTGAGCATTGTTGACCCCAGGATGAATCGTGTACAGGACAGTGTGGTTTTCTGATAGACACTCTAATGACGTCATATTTCACGTTTATTTGTTTGAATTACATGAATATTGAAATTAAACACCACGCAATACAACCCTTTATCACATAAAATGTGTCTTGTTGAAGCCTAGTGAAGTATACCTAAATAAACAAACAGGCGATAAGTAAATATATGCTTACCACTAGGTATTGTTTGTTTGTGATAAGCTTAGAAATATGAACTGGATATTTGCAAAGTATCCTAGTAATGTACAAAATATGTACATTATCGCCTGAAATGTCTATAAACAAGTTCCTACTAAAAAGGACCAAACAAAAGAGGGTGGGAGGTCAGATAAAAATAACAAGAATATTTGTTCAATCGCCTGCTTAGTTTCTTCCAATACACATCACAAAGATTAGACAAACAGGAGGTAGTTCACGCAATTATTCACACCAATAGACTGTAAACGCCCCGCATACATAAGACAAAACAACTCTATAAGAGATTGAAATAAAACCTGGAAAGTATTGAATATCGAAAGTGAAAATTTTCCTAGAACTCATGCTATTTGAGCGATGAAGTAGGTTAGAACTTGAAGGGAAACATAAGAGAGGAAATTGATAGTATAATCAGTCCACTTGAGTGAGAAAAATCCCAAAAGTGCAGTGTCGTGGATAAACAGGGGAAAAAAGATCCAAACACAAAAATGTAACCAACAACTTTAGGCAGACCAACGTTTAGAAACCTACCACACAGCGTGCAGTTGGTAAATACAGTCAAGACAAAGGCTCAAGCTCTCCGGTTCAGTCATTCGTTCACACTATTACACACAAAATGACAAAGGTACTCTCTCACACACAGTCAAGTCTGCATTACCGCGGATTTGGTATCGCTGAGTAACGCTCCATGTTGCCACACTTCACATCAGCAAACCAACATAGAAGGAAAAGAGATGGAAGATAGTCAAATAAGCACGAAAGTAATCTACTGTGGCAGGAGGTGAAGAGAAAACAAAAAGCAATAACACATCATTGCAATTCAGAATAACGACTACAATGAAGATAATGTATGGATGCGTCTGCACCACTGCTATCGATTCTGAACCACTTCACCGACACTCTACAGCCAACGATTTATTTCGATTGTCATGCGAACCTCAACTAGGAAGTCAACATCTCCCTACGCGACTGGTGCCAGCAGCGGGAGACTATAGGATCTAAAGCTAGATTTTAATATGATTCCGTTTCGGCGTTTCTCACACTGAATAGAAGTTAATTGAATGCTTGTAACTGGCCACTGTTTGAATTTTTATTTGAAGTGCGATGTCCATGGTTCTCATTTGCTGTCGTGTAAATGAATCTGTTACTCACAACGATCGACGACGTTCACACTTACGATGTGTGTTTTTAGCCACAGTTTTCTTTATACCTACTATAACTATCCATTTTTACTCATCACGGCTGACTTCTCCTTAATTTCACACTATGCTACCACGCACTGCTTGCAGTTTTGGTGCTACGCATTTGAGTCACTCTCTCTTCACTTTGCTTACACTCCATATGACTTTGTTGATGTGCAGGAATTAGTTCAGAAGTAGCTACTGAGTCTCACTGACCGTCTTTTCCCCTTTCTAGTGGTTTAGTTACGTTCTACAACACTATGTTTACAGCACCGTAAGGATGAATGAGGATTCCCCATAATGGATGATCTTTGACTGTATAGGTATCAATTCTCTCGTGGTTGCACGAACATATTGCGAATGAATTCCAGAGAACCCTAATCCAATGTTTACAACTTCCTATGGAACACCTTAAACCACTTAACATTTAAGATATATTCACGTGTAATAACACCATTCTCTCAACTAAAAGTCAGTTTTATGCACAGTCATCCTCACATTTGCTATTCACGGAAACAACACTTGTTTCTGAACAGTTTGGGTATTTTTGAAGAGCTCAGTATGATTGGAAGGACGAGAATTCAAGCTAAAAGGGCTTTTTAACGTAACTTCGAGAACATTCAGTATCAATAAGTACGCTCATATCTAGTGTTTCCTTTTAAATTATTCAACCTTCGGAGAACAAATACATTTTTTATGGATGACATAAGATGCTTCTCGTATAACTGATGACATCTGGAAGATCAAAAGCAATAGCACAGAGAGATAGGTATATATTCTGATAAAATCATGTACACGCTTTAACTGCTTTCTTAAGAGATCTGCAGTGACTCTGATAGAAATCTTTCGACAATTTTCGAGCCAGATTTGTTACCATAGGATTCTCAGTTATAGATTTGTCACATGGATTGGAGGAATCCCCAACTTCAGCATTAACACTCTTGACAACCAATTCACACCAGAAATCAGTTGTACGTTTCCAGTAAGCTGAGAACGTTTCGAATTTCTCCGGAGTTGGGGCACCCTCGATAATACCTGTTTACATAAAATTAGTTGAAAAGTGTCAATAACTTAAAATACAAATTACACGAAATCCTAACAAAAGAATAAACATAACTGAGTAAGCTACTTTCCGAAAAATTTCAAATAGGTTGGTCAGTAACAGCATTCGTGAAAATCCAAGTCAGTCTGATGCGTGAAAAGAAAGAATTTTCTAGGCATATCACCAACAATTGCTAAGATACATACAAAACTCATATGGAAGAAAACATGGAGGTAAAAATTTTTCAAAAAAAAGACATGAGATTAGTTTGAAACGATTCAGTAGATTGGTCGAAGTAGTGAAAATGAATCCAGCATAAAACATATACGCATATAGAAAATAACTTCAGGCACTACTGAAGGAAGAATGATTGATCGACAGTGTTTGTTTTCCAATACTTCGGGTAGATCATAAGAATTAATTAAAAACTTGAAAACGTCCACTGAAAACAACGGGGAAACTGTTTAAGGAAGTAGAAGGCCATCAGAAGAATTTGGTATCAAACTTCAAACTGCATAAGTACCAGTTGCATTCATATACCAGCTAGGTAGTCCTCTACAAGACTAAGGTCAATAGAAACAGTAAGAAACCAATATCCAATTTAATAAATAATAACTTAGCACAGTTGGAAATATAAGCTTGGTATTATTTCCTCAAATACCCTAAGTTGGACTGCGGATGGTAAAGACCACTTTTCCTCTCGAAATGCTCTTATACAACCACAAGTTGTAGAATCCCGGCCATAGCATGCATCTACAAAAGTGGAAGACTAAAGCCTCATATATGAAAACTAACAGTTTATAGGTGGATGAGGAGGATCTAGAGGAACTAGTGGTGTACGAAGTCCAAGGAGGAATGAGATACCTATGTGGACGTATTCTGATAAATATCATCATTGAATATGTTAACTGATTTTGTCCCATCCACCTTTAGTTGAAAACTGATCGGAAAAGATAGAACAATGGCTCCCTAAAATAACAATTTCACTCAACCTGAGTACCTAGGAGGTATTTCAGCCCTTGTTTATATCATGATATATTATGCAGTGAAGATTTTGATTACATCGCTATTATTCGTCAAATAATCATCACAATTACTCCACTCGATTACTTACTTGTAGTATATTGCTTGAATTTTCAACTCATTTTCCAATGAACTGCCCGTTAGTGCTGGGACATTTTTAACACGGGTATCATTCTGAGTTACTAATCAGTTGCTTTCAAGAAAGTTGTTCTTCATGCGAGTGATACATAATTCAATTAATCTTAGTCAGTCAATATCGTGGAACCTGACAAATGGTTCGTGCTGTCACACCTTACATCAGTACATCAAGATACAAGAGGACTGAGAGAGAGAGAGAGAAAATCAATGTAGAACTTCGCACACAGATACCGAACTTCCCAGTAGTACACAAAGAACAAGAGGTTAGAAAAGCAGTGATACCAAAGTAGACAGATTAGTAGTGTATGAGAATAAACAATTTGAAGATAACGGTTGGTGCAAATATTCAAGCCTTAGAAGACATCAAGGAGTGGACACATCTGCGTCATCGTGACCGATTTTTAGGCATGCGACCAAGAATCCTCAACCACTGATTCCTTTCGTCTCGAGGACCCCAACCAAGCAGTCTACATCTCCCCCACACGACTCAGACCAATAGTTCGAGACACAAAGTAGAAAGAGGAATGAGACAGGAGGAAGAGTGTGGTAAAAGCACTTAAAAAGTTGTAAGTCATTTACATCGGATCTAGAACTATCTCTTACGCTTACCGTATTCAACGTATGCCTCTTGATGCAATCAAACAATATGCATATATTTCTTGAACTCTGGAAAACCTTGCTATTTGAGTATACTGCACTACAGAGATCTGCAAACTAAATCCAAATAAATAAAAATCTATTAACTCCATAACTAATTCTTATGTCAGTGTATCTCAGTTCCTTGTGACGTCGATACTTGATCTTGCTGGTGTCGGTGTTTCACATAACGTTAGTTTACGCTAGATTATTCTACTATACCTCTATCACCAGTCACATGTATTCCAATAACGCAATAGGAACACCACAGGGATTTTATCAACTGCATATCACCCGAAGAAACAAGGAAATAAGCAATGTAAAAATTTCTAACATACTTTACATGGACGACCTAGAGATATCAGCTTGTGTTTTGGAGATATGCGAAACGTTTCGTTTCATAGACTATAGGAAGTTAGTACCAACTATGATCAAACACAAATAAGAACTGATATCTTAAGACTCTTCATTTAAAATATGTTACGAGACTTATAGTGGTCATTTCTTTCTTCAGGTCGCATCTCATGAAACTCCGGTGAAGTAAAAAAAAATTATCTCACTAATTAATGATGACATTTGTTTGGTGAGTTAGCCAGAAATTCTGGTATCAATACGTGAGCAGCAAGAGAGCTGTTTTCATGCTATGCTTGCCTATGATTCCATTCAATGTGGTTAAGGATGACTTATCAATTCAGTGACCTTGTCAACAGAGTATGCTTTAAAGTTAACTACATAACTAGTTCACTGGCTACTGGAGGTCCTAAGCTCATATAAAGAGGGAAGGTTGGGCATAGGGCTACCAATCCTACCTCGAAAAACCAATACAATCGCTAAACAAATTTCAAAGCACTAAGAAAATCTACAAAATAATAATAAAATTATTTCTCGCTTGAATCAGGGAGACGAAATGACATCAGTTGGTGAAAGCCTTTGCGAAGCCAATTCGTCCATATGTCTTCGCTTCTCTCCATGAAAGCTTAAGTAAACATACGGACATGGAATGTCAACACCATGTATGAAACCAGCTGGCATGGCTGACCAAATTGAGAAAGAGGTGAAAGTTATGGCATACAACCACCAGGAATCTGCGAAAGCAGATTCAATGGAAGTCGACTCTCCAAACTGTCAACTGCACAGTCAATAATCTACTCCGATATTCTCACACAGACGACAACCACGAGCACACTGAGTTTCACAATGGCTTTCATGATGTCCCCAACAGCATCCAAGGCTCTCTCTCTCTCTCATGAAGTGGCAACCAATCTCCTTCTCCACCCCATCAGGATCATGACACAAGGATGGATTCAACTCAAAAGGAAGCAAAGTCACAATCATACAATGCTACGCCACGCACCTACAAATAATGCAGATCAGACGAAGAAGAAGGAGGAATCCTACAGACAACTGTAATCACTAATGGACTAAATTCCAATCCTAGATGGCGACATCACAATTCCAATGGGTGGGGTGACATGAATGCCAGCCAAACTGGGAGCGGACAACACAGGAAGAGAATTCACCATGGGTCGAGAATCATCAATATCCTATGTTGACATAGGACCAGGCATTACTGCATAACGGTTCGACTTGCCACAGCTCAAATCAGTACATCAAGTAAAAAGGCAGTGAGGCGAAAGATGAAGATAAGAAAATTCAAACAAAGGAAATACAAAGTACGAAAAGAGAGACTGGAAGAATGACAAAATGGTGAAATTTTGTATAGCGTCGTTAAGATACGGACAATACGCACGACAACCACCTGGTCTATGCGTCAAGAAGCAATCAGTGAAATGATGAACGAGAATTGAGAACTGTTTGCAGAACTCTGCGCTTTCAACCATCTGCTGATTGCAGGCACTGTGTACAAACACAAGGATATCCACAAACCGACATGGATTTCACCAGACACCAGACACACTAAAAATCACATCGACTTCATCTCAATGTGACGAAAGTGGAGACGCAGCCTACTGGACACGAGATCAGATCAAGAAGAGGAGCAGATGTAGGTGGTTCACACCACTCACTCACTATCTAGTCCAAACAACCTACCTTCAAAATCAAGTTGAAAGACTTCAAAGAAGTTGCTGATAGACGGCCACAGTTCATGTTCAACACCCAGAACAGAAAGAAACTGAACTGAAGGACGAAACTACAAACGACATCCTCACCTCAGCTATTAGAGTAAAGTGGGAGACACTAAGTGACATCCCTGAAGAAATCTGCGTGGAAGAACACTGGAACTCTTTGGAAGAGATGTGGAAGGAAACCTGCATGACCGTGTTACGAAGGAAGAAGAAACAAGACAGGAAATGGATCTCGACGGACACATGGAAGCTGATAGAGGAGGAGGGAGAGGAGGATGGTGAAGCAGAAGATGAACCAGTGCAGTGTAGTGCAGTGTAGTGCAGTGCAAAGATGAACAACGAAAAGAGGAACTGAACACAACCGACAAAATACTATACTAAACAAAGAAGTGAAGAAGAGTGCCCCAAAAGACAAAAAACACTTCTACGACACATCGGCAAGTGAAGCAGAACAGGTGGCTGGTAGGAGAGACCTGACAACATTGTATCAAATAACCAGGTTACTATCTGGGAGAGGAGAGATGAACACAGATTAAACCAATGAAAGACAGTGAAGGAACTTATTTAACAGAAAGAGAGACAAACGAAACGATGGGCTGACCACCTCAAAAAACTCTTGAATCGACAACCTCCACCACCACCACCACCACCCATAGCAACCCGTACAGAAATATCACCAGCAGCCCAGCCACACAACTACCAGTGAACGCAAGCCCCACGACAAAACCAGCAGTCGAGTCCTGAACTCCTTAAAGTTGCTGAAAGCCGGGAAAGCAGCAGGACCAGCAGCAATGAAAACAGATAAAGAGACATCAACAGCGAACATGCTCACACCACTATTGCATAAGGTTTAGAAGGAAGGCAGGAAAGCTGGATTCAAAATTACGACCGCAACAGGCTGGCTGCCTGGCTTCAGGAAAAACAAATCATGTGAGCATCAAATTGCAACGCTACGCTACGCATCATCTCATCATAGAACAGAACATAGAATGACAGTCAACTCTTCACCTTACCTCAACTTCATCCATCGACTTTGAAAAGGCGTTCGACAGCGTCGACCGACAAGTAATTTGCCAGGCAGCTACTTCAACACTACAGTCTCGGGGCCACAAACCTTTATCAACCTCATTCAACAACTATATGCCATATAATGCTACATACAAAGTGATTCACAATGGAAAGCACAGTGACGCCTTTGAAGTGAAGACATGAGTAAGACAGGGATGCCACCTACTATCACCGATGATCTTCCGGATTGTCGTGTACTTTGCTGAATCATGCAACAAACTGTGAGGAGCGAGAAGAGAGGCATACGCTGGCTGGCTGCACCGATGAAAAGACTCCAGAAGAAGATTTCGATTTCACCGACCAGGATGATTTATGTCTAATGTCTTGTCGCACAAACTAGGAGATCTACAGGCAAAAACCAACTAGTTCACAGAAGAGGTGAGGCAGGGCAGCGAAGACGGCACTTCATTCAGGTGAACGTAGAGAAGACAGAGATGATAAACATACCCAACCAACACCATCACCACCACCACCACAACAACAACAACAACAACAAGCATCAATCATCATCAACAGCAGGAAACCTAAAGGAACTGGTCTCTTTCACCTACTTACCTAGGCAGCCTCATCTCAACTATAGGCGGCACAGGCACAGATGAGGATGGCAAAGCCAGGATCGCAAACACAGCAAGACACGCCTTCATTAACCCGAAATCAGTGTGGAGATCTGATCTACTGCACTGCACTCAGCATAAAGAACAAAATCCGAATTTTCAACACGAATGTCAAGTAAGTCAGTGCCTCAATGTGATGATTGAGAGACTTGGCGTGTTACGAAAAGCATTTCCAACAAACTACAGACATTCATCAACAGCTGCTACCTACACTCACTCGATACTGAAAATCGATCACACGACCAGGAACTCACTCACTCACTCCGTCTGGTAACGAACCAACCAAGAACCCATCACCCAACAAATATGCAGAAGAAAGTGGAGATTGATTGGATTGGACATACACCAAGAAAGAAGACGGTTTGGTGACATCACGCGTCAGGTCAGGCCGTCGAGTGGAATCCAAAGGGGAAACGACGAGTTGGGCGTCGGAGGCGAGGGTGACATGGAGGAGATGATGTGAGGAAGAAATGAAAGGTTGTGGGTAGTCATGGAGCCAGGTTCAGAGGACTGCATAGAACAGAGTGTGATGGAGACATGCTACTGAAGCCCTATGTTCCACTAGGAACCTCAAGGGACAAATTATCATTATTATCATTATTATTATTATTATTATATAATTACAAATATTGTTGTACTATCTGGGAAACTGGCTGATCGTGTTGAGTACCGATAGTGAAAAAATAGTCAGTGAAGCTATTATTGGGCACTAGTTGATCAAGGATTCTACATTTGAGAGTCATTTACAGATTACTTTACTCTTAACAGTCCATTACAGCCATCAATAAATGACAATTCTGAAACCGAACAGGTCATAATGTAACCAGGTAACGATAGCATGGATTTGAGTTTGGTCTCCGCCTCTCTTTAACAACCTGTTATTACTTCGATTACGCTATAATGTATTAACCTCCCGCTGTCGATGAATGGTTAACAAAATCAATTTACACATATAAATACAGAAAAACTGGTTCTGTTTTGTAATAATGTTGATGAATATTAAACCGAGAAATGTTCTAATTTAGCCTGGAATCTGTCAAAAAGAAAGACGAACACTATCTACACGTACTAAACAGTAAGGAGATGGGTATGACAATGCGTTTGCAGCTTCAAATCATATTTTGAATGTAACCGCTACGTTACTGTTAGTTCCCTGTAACTTCTCTTAACCCACCATCTTGTAGAGCATTATGTGTGGTTATTATCTTGGAGCTCTTTTATGGACCTACTGATTATGATAAAATCGATATGTTACAACTTAATGACTTAGAATATTACATCTACGATCCGCTGAAGTGGTCGTTATTCAGAAGGATAGTTCAGTGTACTAGTATAAACAACAGTGATCGTCCTTAATTTTCCGAAATATGAAAAGACTTCAACTTGAAGATAAAAATCAGTTAATTGATACTTTGTTAAGAGTTAAGAGTATAGCGACAATACATTTGCAAAGTGATGAGGGAGGAAGTGGTTCTTCGATAAGATGTTTAAGCCGGTCGACAAATTAGCACAAATCTAGACAGTGTCACTTACCATCACGGTCAGGGTTGCTCAGTGGGAGTAAGACACGTGAAAAATACCATTAAAACCTTCTAGATCTGAGTTTTCGATCACCGATCAGTAACTTTACTGAGGTCGCTGTAGGAGTATTCCAACCATTTCTAATACACCAAACAGTCGATGATAAAGGCTTGCCAGAGAGAAACACATTTGATTCCGATACTCTAGCTGATAGCTCGACCAGTTTAACCATTAATTTCAGGTTACCATCATGACTTGAGGCTCTTCCCAAATTCATACTACTTATGTGGTCTTCGATTCGGAGAAGAATGAAGAGCTCGATCGCAATGTCTTGCCGCAGATGAAACTAGATTGGGAGTGACTGAATGCTAACAATATACCATTAAAAGTGTTTTTCACGTTTCACGCATCAGTCCCGTCGCTTAATTGTGACTGGATTACTGGCCTGTCTTTTGGCTGACCAGCTTGCTGTCATTCGATTTTATCACACCACCCTCGTCATTAAGTGTCAGAAAATAAAACTTCACCTTTTTGACTATCGTTGACTATTAATGTCCACAGACGTAGTTTTTTTGCAAGTCTACACTTAAGTTGCCTCTGCTCCTCATTGGTTTTGGAACTTTCAGAACGCGTTGCTGTGTATCAATTACTTTGAACGACACTATTAGGTCCCACTGTCTTGGCTAGTCTTGTTTCAGAGGTTGTCTTTAGTCTCTACCGCTGTCTTCACAACGCTACTCTGCTGACTGTTTGCCTACTTCTACCATCGTCAGTAAACTTTTCACACCCTCGTCTTCAAGACAAGCTCACATACGTCTTCAGGCTTCGATGTAAGACAGTCACTGCTAACGATCTACTGCATTAAGCTTTGCTACGTGTACGTAAACGCCTCTCACCATGAAGACTACGTTTGTGCATTCGGCCTGCATAGATTTCAGCAGACTAATTCTTCCCTCCGCTTGAACTACAGTCAGTGGATATCTAATTAAAGATTAAAAACATACCTTTACTTACTATGACCTTTGTGAGTACTTAATGCACCCCCCCCCCATTACCAGTACAGTATGACGATTGCTATCAAGTTTAATTCGGTTGACAAAAGAACTTCTTGACACACTACTTACTGCTGCACTTTGGAGATTGAAGAAACTGCCTTGTCAAACCCCGTATAGAATTTGGAAATTGAAAGCCTTACGACAATGAGATCTCAAAGAGAGTCAGCGTACTTGTGATGGATTACTATCATAAGCAGAACTGACCGCTACGATCAGACAAGGTAGTAGCTACACCTAGCATACAGTGAACAACACTAGAAATGTACATGGGAATACCAGGTTATGATACAGAAACAACTCAGTTTAAATCCATGACTTATTGTGGTACTGAATGAGAATATAGAAAATCAGAAGTTACATATACACATTCTTCATCTTAAAAAAATTGTACCCAGTTTAAAACTGACTTACTGTCTTCACTGTCATCTGAACTTTCACCATCAACCTCCATTGTTTCAGACTCTGACGAGTCGCCAGTATCATCATCATCTTCTGCTTCTTCTTCAACATCGTCATCATCCGACTCACTTTCATACCATTCCTAGTCGAAAGATAATAAACATGTTGATAGGGATTTCTTCGGATTATATTTATTCTAAGCCTATCCTAATTAGTGATGACATGCTACCAGGTAGTAGTGTATGTAGAAAAGTGGCTAGGATACAACAATCAGCGTCTGCTTACTTAAGACAACCATAATAATGACGTAACTCAACCCAGTAAGTTTTTATGTACTGGATTATGGCCGACAATTGTTGCGTAAAGACTAATGATACTAACCGGCTACCCAGACCGAAGAAGGTAGAGTGGAGTTCAGATCCAAGACCCATTGCTTGAAATCCGAGTTTCTAAAGCATTGAACCACATCTTCATCGGACTACTAAACACGTGCATACTGCTATAGTGAGTAGTTTGGAAAAAATTTAAACTCAATACATACATTGCATGGAAACTCATTGATAATAAACGGACACAACATGTTTGACAACACTTTTACTAACTCATGGACTACTATGCATGCGCATTAAGGAAATACGTCCAAAACCTATGGGATTCTTTCGTATTTATCCACATATCCTTGCAATACAAGCATGCAAAAACAAATTTCGGCAAGTAACTGTAAAACACCTGCCAAGAAATCAACCCTAACAACCCCTGCGCAAGCGTTGAGTTCTGCTCAAAAAGAGTTACACTACGACTAACTGTTGTACAAACCACTGGCGAAAATCAACTAAACCATACACTATAATAACAAATATCAAAAGTAGAAATGAAAAATTCTCCAAGATATCAAGTAAAGACAAGAAACAAAAATGAAAAAAGCAGGATTTTATGAATTAATAAGGTTTGGTAGAGCTCCTGAAGTGAATTCTCTACGTACCTTACTGTATGCACCAGCAAGCCAAACATGGATAACTAGAAAAATACTGTAGGACAGTGGATGACAGATTACAATATGGTGGTATAAAACCATTTTTACAGTTTAAATGTGTGAAAGGTTGAATCGGGTGTGGAAATTGATAGTAACACAGCGGAGTAAGTAAACCAATTACCTTTATTTACTTACATTATCATCACATTATTTTTAAAGACTGTAGATACTATTTCCACTTCCTCTTATTAACCTCTATCGTGATATACTGGTGTAGGATGACATTGGACCATTCTTCAGTAATAACAAGTTGTGCTTCGATAATGTCTGTGTCCGATAATCTTAAACAATACAATCCTTGAAGTCGTGTTAAACACAGGCTAAGTAATACAGTAGATATGACAATATTCCTGACCAAGGTAGACACTGATAACCTCAGTTGAAGCTTCGTAGGTTCTAAGTCCAAAAATGACGTTTGTTTGAATTTCTTAAAGCAAAAATATATTTTGTCTCAGTTGTCAAAAGCAGGTAGTTATCCTAGAAAATTAAAACTGAGTGAAGTGAAGGCATTTTATGATTCACTAGTTGTCTAAAAATAATCATGCACTTTAGTAGTGATTATTAAAATAGACTAGTGCTAATTTGTCTCCAAGCAGCCCTTTTGTAAACAGCTGAGTGACTATAAAGTCATCACCACACATACTCTATGTTCTGAATTATCGTTACTCATAATATGATATTCAAAAAGACTGCAACCGAACAAAAAGGAATCAGCCATACGAAATTAAATGAGCTGTTTTTTTTATTTGTCCCTTGGGTTCCTAGTGGAACATAGGGCTTCAGTAGCATGTCTCCATCACACTCTGTTCTATGCAGTCCTCTGAACCTGGCTCCATGACTACCCACAACCTTTCATTTCTTCCTCACATCATCTCCTCCATGTCACCCTCGCCTCCGACGCCCAACTCGTCGTTTCCCCTTTGGATTCCACTCGACGGCCTGACCTGACGCGTGATGTCACCAAACCGTCTTCTTTCTTGGTGTATGTCCAATCCAATCAATCTCCACTTTCTTCTGCATATTTGTTAGGTGATAGGGCAATGACAGTAGTATAGAGATACATAGGTAAGAAGATCAGAGATCATAAGCGTGATGATAACAGAAAACGGAAGATAAACAAGAGCAACAAGGAGCGTGATAACACCATTTGAAGAAATATTACAAATAAGCCATGAACTAAGTTGACATGTGACAGCGATAGAAATATACGCAGGAATTCGCAGAGAAGGGCATCGTTTAATTTGCCCCTTTATAGTACCATGCAAAGAACAAGTAAGCAAAAAAGAGTGATCTGGGATAGCTGTTTCGTCCTAGTATGGGACTCATCGGTAGTGCGCACCCATGACCGAGACAGTGAAAGGAACCACCTGGCGGGGTCATGGGTGCGAACTGCTGAGAAGTCCCAACCGATAGCTGCTACCTTGACGTGGTGGTCGGGCTTGCATATCACAATGACCCAACGAGCTATGCTGGTGGAACGCTTGTTCCCTCGAGGTCCTACCATACCAGAAAGGTCTGTTGGGTAGTGGTTAGACGAAAAGCAGTTACCGTTATAGTGTAAATTGCTACACTATGATGGGGGTCTGAGGGCGAAGTCGTACTGCTGCTAGCTGGATGGGGTGTGACAGCAGTAAGGTGTTTCCCTTGGATGACCAGCAGTGCCAAGCTGATGCTGCCTTCTCAGTGGAAGGGGGGGTTAGAAAAGGTCGGCCCCAAAAATAACACACTCCACCACGCCCCACGGTCTGCCGGGCCGGCGGTGTTGGTTCACTTGTCGTTTCCTTTCGACCATCCGGCCCCAAAAAAACAAAAATTCAAAATAATCATACTCAAAAGGCTGGGTGTGACAGGCCTCAAGCAGATGTCCGATGGGCTCTGCGGTCACACAAATCTCTTTCAGGTACCTTAAGAAGAAATAGCCTTCCACGGTGTGGGCAGCCGGGAAGTGTCAACCGCCCTCACAACTCTGTCAGCACCCAAGTTTCTTCTGACTGCTATCCTCCTCCTCCATCATTACCTTCTAATCTTCCTTCACGTCTCTTAATTAATGATGCTGCATCATCTTCAATTTCTCCTACCTCTGCAGCCTTCGACAACGATCTGAGTCCACAGAACAGCATCCCTGGTCTCCTTAAACCACGCTCCAAATTACATATTGGAGCCTTCAATGTCCGCACCCTCCGTCAAATTGGCCAACAGGCTTCGTTGGCAAAGACTCTAGCAACTCGGGCATGGATGTGTGCTGTGTTTGTGAGACACGCATACAGGACCCAAGTGTGGTTATTCACCTGACCTCTCCTGACCAATCTGGTGAATCCACAAATTCACCCTTCGAGTTTCTGGAGATTCGATAGCTAGCTCTCGTGGTCTTGCAGGTGTAGGTATAGCATTAAGCACCAGGGCAGAAAACTCACTACTAGACTGGATCCCAGTTGATAGTCGCCTCTGCGCTATGAGGCTGAACGGCACAGTGAGAACTAAAAGGAATAGTGAGACTCGCCGTTGTCTCTTTGTAATCTCTGCTTACGCACCCACTGACTGTAGTTCGGATGAAGTGAAGGACGAGTTCTACCATAAACTGTCTAACCTCCTCTCGAAAGCCAAACGTTCGGACGTAGTGGTTGTTGCAGGTGACCTCAACGCACAGGTGGGTAGACTGAGTGAGGCAGAAAGGCACTTAGGTGGCACTTTCGGAATCCCAGCTGAACGTACAGATAACGGTGATCGCCTATTACAACTATGCTCAGATAACCGCCTATTTTTAGCCAGCACAAATTTCAGACATAAAGAAAGGCACTGTCTGACCTGGCGTCCACCGAGCTCGACTCAGCGATGGACACAGATAGACCACATTGCTATTAGTCATCGCTGGAGAGGATCGGTGGAAGACTGCCGCTCCTTCTGGAGTACGTGTTTGGACAGCGATCATGCGTTGGTCCGAGCACGTATATGCCTGCGTCTCAATGGACGTAGAAAAAATTTGGCAACAAAACCACTACGAGTTCTGCTGGACAACGAAAACACCAAAGCCGTGTTCAGTGAGAAGTTGGCTAGGCAGTTATCGGAACAAAAGACTGTCACTCATCCAGAAGAAGCTTGGTGCCATCTTCAGTCTACTGTAAAAGCAGCACTGGAGACTGTAGCCGACTCCAAGATAATGGCTAAAAAGAGCCAGTGGATATCAGCAGCTTCTTCCAAACTAATGGATGCACGTGAATGCATCCCTGCAGGCTCTGAGTACAATGAAGAGCGAGCGCAACTTAAAAATAACTGACGAAAAGTCTGCGCAACGATCGTGAACAGTGGTGGGCAGCAAAGGCTAAAGAGATGGAAAAGGCAGCGGCGATCGGTAACAGTAGACAGTTATTTAGACTTATTAAGGAGACTGGGGGGAAATGGTCAACAACAGTTAGTGAGGTTATAGCGGAGAAGGACGGATCTGCGATTCACTCGCAGGGAAGGCGACTGGGACGATGGGCAGAACACTTTGAGGAACAGTTTAACTGGCCTCCAGCCACCATTGCGCTGCCCGCTATCCAGTCGGACCCTGAATGGGACATAGAGACAGGTCCCCCAACACTAGAAGAAGTTGAGAAAGCGGTAGGTAGCCTGAAACGGGGAAGGGCAGCAGGACCAGACGGACTACCTGCTGAGGTATACAAGAATGGTGGTAGAGTTCTCTTAGTCAGGCTAACGGAAGTGTTAGCCAGTATATGGGAATCAAATACGATCCCCTCCGACTGGTCTAAGTCACTCATCATCCCAGTCTTCAAGAAAGGCGAGAAGTCCTCTTGTGATAACCACAGAGGAATCAGCCTGACAAACATAGTGTCTAAGATCCTAAGTTCTATAATTCTCCGACGCCTGAGTGGAGCTCGGGAACAGCAAGCCCGAGAAAACCAGGCAGGCTTTAGACCTGGCCGTGGATGTATCGACCAAATATTCACACTGCGCCAGGTCCTGGAACATAGGCATGCTTACAGACGCCCGACAATAGCTGTATTTCTCGACCTGAAGGCGGCATTTGACTCCGTTGATCGAGAAGTCTTATGGCAGTGTCTGTCACTGAAAGGCGTGCCTAGTAAGTACATCACCTTATTGAAAGCTCTCTACTCGAACACTTGTGGGCATGTTAGAGCCTATGGTGAGTTGTCCAGGGAGCTATACTCATCAAGTGGTGTCCGTCAAGGATGCCCACTATCCCCATTCTTATTTAATTTTATCATAGATATTCTTATGGAGGTTTCCCTCTCGTCACCTAATTACAAAGACGTTGACCCGATCACAGGTGAATTTTCCTTAGATCTAGAATATGCAGATGACATAGTCCTGTTAGGTGAAGACGCTGACAAGATGCAGAGTCTTCTGAACACTTTGAGTGGGAATTTGAGAATGTTTGGGATGCGATTTTCACCACCCAAATGCAAATTTTTGCTCCAGGACTGGTCTTCAGCGGTACCGCGGTTAACAATAGAGAGTGAAGTGGTTGAGTGTGTTGACCACTTCACTTACCTGGGAAGTAGGATCAACCCCGGTGGGTTAGTTGCCGATGAGATTTCTGCACGGATACAAAAGGCTCGATTGGCTTTTGCCAATTTGCGCCACCTATGGCGCCGCCGTGATATTCGTTTGTCTATTAAGGGTCGCGTGTACTGCACAGCAGTCCGCTCTGTTCTACTGTATGGCTGTGAAACATGGCCATTGAAAGTGGAAGACATGAAAAGGGTTCAGGTGTTTGACCACCGTTGCCTTCGTAGTATAGGACGTATTCCGTGGTGTCACCATGTGAGTAATGCAGAAGTTAGGTGTAGAGTTTTAGGGAGAAGAGGTAAGTCAGTCGACGAGGTTGTGAACCTTCATCGACTGAGATGGTTGGGACACGTACTACGTATGCCTAGTCACCGATTGCCTCGTCACACAATGTTGGCTGAGGTGGGTTCAGGCTGGAAAAAGGCCCGAGGTGGCCAGACTAAAACATGGCACCAATGTATGAAGTCTCTGACTGTTGGTTTAAGCCATGTAGGACGATGCAGACTAGGTGGTTGGGGTCCACGGGACAAGAGGAACCAGTGGTTGGAGACCCTAGGTGATATGGCTCAGAACCGAAGTCAGTGGCGCAGATGTATACACACATTATCCTCATCTTAACAACGCTATACCGAATCTCACTATTTTGTCACTCCTCTTTCCTTTCTTCTCGTACTTTATATTTCTTTTGACTGCATTCACTTATCTTCATCCTTCACCTCACTACCTTTTTACTTGATGTGCTGATATGAGGTGTGGCAACTCGGACCGTTACGCAGTAATGCCTGGTCCTACGTTGATAATGATGATGATGATGATGACTGCTGAGAAGTCCCACACCAGGACGAAACAGCTGTTCAGTGCTCCCAGGTTTCCAATGTTCCTCCAACTGATGTCAAATCGACGATGAATAACAACTTGAAAAACCACTAAATCCCCAAGAACCCCTAAATTAGAAAAAAGTAATATCAAGGGAGAAAAAAGTGTATGGAAGGAAAAGATTTCAAAAAATGAAGGTTAGTAACAATGTCTAAACTTTTGAAGATGTCAGAGTTAACATGATGAGTTGTCAGTGTCAAAACAAATATGCGATGTATACATGAACATGTGACCAAATCATATCTAATGATATTCCACTGGTTATTGTTGTCCTGCAACTTTGACAAACACCATAATTCGATTGGGTATCAGTATAAAGCAGTCTATGCTACTGTAACGGTATTAGTGTGCAGGTATTTAATACTGTGTAACTGAGGTTGTGTAAACCATCTGGCGAACTGGTTGGTAGTCTAGTTGTGTGACCGGATTCTGGGACTATGTGGAACATAAGTGTTACAATTATAGTCCTTCCTGCGTCATTCCGGAGAATAAATTGTGCATAATTAAATTTCAAAAACAGCAAAGTCGATATGTCTTCACCATCGTGATCGAGTCCCAGCTATGTCACCAAAGACTTCCAACCATTGATTCCTATCACTTCGACAATCACAGCCAGGTATTCTAGACTTCTACACGAATCATGTCAATGGTTAGAGACTTCATACTCAGATCCCACCTCTTGGTCCGACTACCCTTCGCCTTCTTTAAATCCAATTCTGCTTCGGCCACCGAAGTAGGTAGTATATTGGCATGCTCAAAACATGTTCAAGTTCTCTGGGCCACTGAAGGTTCACAACGTCATCGACTGACTTGACTCGCTCGCCTACTGTCTTACGCCTAACCTCAACATTGCTCACACGATGATTCTACATGCAAGAAACGATACGATACACTACTTTTCAAAATCACATCTCAAGGCCGTATAATAGGATAGACTAGGATGTAGGATAGTATACTTATCCTTTAAGCGATATTCAAATCTCCCTGGAGCTAGAGATAACATAAATTTTGACAAATTTCAAACGGACCTTTGGTATCCGGGCTGAGATTCTGTCCGCAACTAAACTATTCGAATGGATGCAACGCTTTTAGAAAGTAGAGTGGCTAAAAACAAAAAAAATCAGAGCTGGTTTTGATGCTATTCTCGGTGTTTGAAATCAATTTACCTCCACGAACGCATTCACAGATTCGCACGGCACCAATAGCTGACAAATAAATATAGCTATTCTTTATCTAACTGCACCATATCATACATTGACTACTATCATTTTGTCATCCACTTCAAAAAAGTTTACGTATATGTTAGAAATGTGAGTTTCAGATACCAGAATGCACAGGCAGCACTACACGACGACGTAATATTGAAGTTAAAGAATTGTATCTATTTCAGTTCCATTTACTTTAGCATTCCCCATAATGTTTGCAGTTAACATAACTGCGTAACATCATATGGTAAATCTAAAGTAATGGTTTCATACGTAATAAAGCATTATCACGTGTGTTGAGCGATTAATTAATTGCATATAACTTTTCGACACCAGAAACTTTCTGTTATACATGACAGCTTTAAAATAAAGATGCTCCATTCAATATGCGCACAGACCACTGAGACACCAATTACAAGAGTCCTCGAAATCGTCACAGGTCATAAGAAGAAAGGAATGCGATATGATGAAGACAATGTTTGGATGCATCTGTACCACTGTGATTGATTCTGAGTCATATCACCTAATCTCCAACTATCTGTCCCGGTTGTTACGACAACCCTAACCAGAAAGTCTTCTTTGCTCAAAAAAGCTCCAACCAACAATCAGACTCCATGAAATACCACTTTTTAACCTTTTCTTAACTTGATCCCACTTTAGCCAACATTGAATGTTAGACTAGTAACTAGGTATGCGCAGAAAATGTCTCAGTCAACTCGGTAGCTGAAGGTTTACAATCTCATCAACTGGCTTACTTCTACCTAAGGATGCAAACCAAGCACTACTAACGTGGTGGTTCCCAATACAAGCAGGCAATGGTGGTGGAACACTTGAACAGCTGCAATAAAAAAGTATAATCTCCGACTGCTGACAAGTAGCATTAAGAAAAAGACCTGCTTTTCAGTTAGTTCAATGACCAAGACTGTTCAAAAGTAATACACATAAGTGATTACAGACCAACAAATATTCAACTAAGTATACAAATAATCACCTGATTTTCTTGAGTTCCGGGATACAAACACTCCCAAGAAACTGGATGACTTATGTCCAGTTTGTAGAAATCATCCAAGGTTACTTTTCTATTACCAACTTCGAAAACTCCACCATACAGATACAAAGTGGAACCGATCAGGGCCATACCCGCACTAGCTCTAGGAGAAGGATTTGTGCTCTTACAAACTTTCTGTTGGAGGGGTTTTGCCCGGGATTCTTCGACAGCAATCTTAACCATACCATTTGATAAAAAATCACAGGCTGAGCCGCCGGCAGTTTCATTTGAAATATCCATAGATTTGGAAACGGAACTAGCTATATTGAATTCATTAGACATATTGTTAGATATACAGAAATTTAAAACCAAGAGAGAATAAAAGAAATGTTACAATTAGGTAGTTGGATGCCACTCAGTAAATGGAGGAACCTGATTCACTGACTACCAACAAGTAGTATCAGACGAATCTAACAAACGAAAGTCGACAAAAGTTGGACAGACTTTGGCAAATTGCATTGTATTTCACAGCTAACAACAATTTCAGCCTTATCAAACTTCTTGTCATTCTGGTTAACTTCACTGTCTCATAGATTACTACGTAGATCACTCCCATACTTTGCTTCATTTTCGAACACCACAAAAATTATACAAATATACCCTATTATTCGATAATAAACTGTTTAATATTTGTGGTTAAAGTAAAAGCGATAGTACAGCTACCAAAAAATCCTATCATCGAAAAAAATATTCATTGAATTATCTATTCTTTTCTTTGCAAGTAACCCTGAGGGTGACGATCGAATATCTGCAGCTTTACCACATCGTTTACCCTAGAAGGTTATCTTCCAACCACATAGCAAATGGAGTGAAACTGTAAAAAGAAATACTTAGTTACTGACATATATTCTACTGGTTGTATAGATGGCGCAGGGTGATAAATGCGAGTCATACATCTGGTCAGTGAGGAAATTTTGTATAGCACCAACCTAAAACGGCCAGTTTGACGCAACAGTCACAAAATGGTTGATATAGCCAACCGTTTCACATTTTACCATATCGGTATATCGGTATATCGGTATATATATATATATATATACATATATATATATATATATATATATATATATATATATATATATATATATATATATATATATATATCGAGAAAATGATACTGAATGGAACACACTTGAGTGTGATTAACCCAAGTAAGGAGATTTTATGACCACCTACTTTTTGGAGAATTGGTTGATTTCAAGGAAGTTTCCATCATCGATGGATATGAAAACCTAGGAACATTTTTACTTGGGTCGGGGACTTTTCAGCAGTATGCACTGACCCAATGATACATCGTGCTTAAGTGTGTCAGTTCTAGTGAACAGTATGTTACCCTTCAAACAGTGATTTGAAATCCACACATTTCCTCGCTTAAATCGAACGTCATGGCTCACCATGACATCTAACGGTTCTGGGCTTGATCCCTAAAAGATCTTAAGTTAGCACTGTTGAAGAGCCATAAGCTAAGCAGACAGAGCCCAACACAATTTCAATTTATTTAAATGGTTGTCCAACTTACCAACTCCCTAAAAACATGAGTTTAATGTGATGTTTCAAAAAACATTTTTTCCCATTTCCTTCAGGGGTGGATACTACTATGAACTCTCAATCAATGGAACCAAATGGTTCCAGCATATCAGAGAAAACTACCTTAATAAAGCCCTAATAAATATGCTTATGTTCCCGAATACTGAGGACCTAATTGTCACTGATGCACTTTCTGGTATGTCTTAAATTATTTGTGTTCTATTACGTTTACTATTCTCTAGCCTCAACAGCCTGACGAATTACAGCGTATCCCTTTGCCACACACATTTCGTCATTCGGCTGTATAGTGAGCAACTTAATCATGGATGATAACTATTACAGCTTTTCGTTATAACGCGAAATGTTCCAGTTATTTGTTTTCAGAGTTTACCGACACCCTGCCTTTCTCTGTGACAGTAGTACTAGCCATGTCTTGATTCAACCTCTTTAAAGACCCTGAGCCATTACCCACTATTAGCCGAAACACTCACTACGTACTCTTGATTCACTACGACCTTACTGCTCAAAGTAATTGCAACAACTCTGCTTCTGATCATCATTTGGTTAAGCGCCAATATCAGTTCGAGAAATGCTTCAACAAACCCTTTTCATTCCTAACTTTCAGTTACAGGTTACTAGACGTTATATCACTAATTTTACAAAACCCAGAGTGGAAGGAAAGACAAGCTATGTTAAAACAAAAATTTTCATTATCCTTTCGATAATCTGAGATAGCCATGTTTTGCTAGACTAGGGTTGATACTGGGTGATGATTGAATGTGGAATGAAAATTTAGGTCATAGCAGGATTCGAACCAGCGACCTTCGAGTTTCCGGCCGGTGTTCTACTAACTGAGCTACGAGACCCGACCGCTGACCAGATTTTTATTTCACTTCAATCATCCAGTGGTCGCTGGTTTCAATCCTACTGCAGCCCAAATTTTCATTTCACCTTTAATCACCACCCAGTATCAAAACGTTTTATGTTTTCAAATGCTCAGCATGTCCCATATCTTGATGTCAGACATCATCAACACCATTACTGCATAATGGTTCACGTTGCCACACCTCCTGTAAACGCATCAAGCGAGAAAGATGAAAGACAAAAAAATGAAGAAGAATCGTCAAAAGTAGTATAAAGTAGTATAGGAGAGGAAAGAAGATTAAGAAATACTAAACTTATTGAGATGATTAAGATGAGGACAATGTGTAGACGCATCTGCACCACTGGTTTCTGTTGTCACGCGGATCTCAACCAGGAAGTTTACATTCCCCTGCACGAGTCAGACCAACAGTCAGGGACTTCATAGACTGATGCCTTGTTCCAGCCTGTCTGCATCTAACTTAATCCAAGTCTAAAACTAATGCAGTTCCCACTATATAACGAAGCAGATGGTGACTAGGCACGAGCAACATATGTCCCAGACACTTGAACTGATGGAAGTTTAAAATCTCATCAACTGGCTTCTCCCTTCTCTCTAAAACTCTACATTACTGACGTGATAGCAGCACGACACACTGCCTATGCTGAAGTGACGGTAGTGAAATACCTGGCCTTCTTATGTCCTCTATCTTTAGTGGCCACGTTTCGCGGTCATGCAGTAGAACAGAGCCAACTGCAATGCAGTACACTCAATCCGTAATTGGCAATCAGATATCAAGGTGGCGTCACAGATGGCAGGAATTAAGTGTGCCTTTTGTATCCACGCCAAGATTTCGTCGGTCAGTGAACCACCATGGCTGATCCGACTTTCCAAGTAAGTGAAGTGGTCAACGCGGTCAACTGTCTCACTCCCTATTTCTATAGAGGACACCACTGAACACCAGTCCTGGAGCGAAAATTCGCGTTTGGGTGGTAGAAACGCATCCAAAACATTTTTAAGTTGCCACCCAATATGTCAAAAATACTCTGCATCTTGTCAGTGTCTTCACCTAACAAAACTATGACATTTGCATACTCTAGATCTACTAAGGATTCTCCAGTGATAAGATCAACCCCAGTCAGACAATGAGAGGGAAAGCACCATAAGTAAGTCTATGGCAAAACTGAATAAGAATGGAGAGAGTGAACATCTTAAACAGACACCATTCGACGTAAACAACTCAGCCAACATCTCATCATAGGCTCTAACACACCCACAGGCGTTCGAGTAAAGAACCTTCGATAAGGAGATGTGTTTATTCGGTACCCGTTACAATGAGTGACATTATTATTATTATTATTATTATTATTATTATTATTATTATTATTATTACCATTATTATTATTGTTCTTTGTCCTCTGGGTTCCTAGTGGAACATAGGGCTTCAGTAGCATGTCTCCATCACACTCTGTTCTATGCAGTCCTCTGAACCTGGCTCCATGACTACCCACAACCTTTCATTTCTTCCTCACATCATCTCCTCCATGTCACCCTCGCCTCCGACGCCCAACTCGTCGTTTCCCCTTTGGATTCCACTCGACGGCCTGACCTGACGCGTGATGTCACCAAACCGTCTTCTTTCTTGGTGTATGTCCAATCCAATCAATCTCCACTTTCTTCTGCATATTTGTTGGGTGATGGGTTCTTGGTTGGTTCGTTACCAGACGGAGTGAGTGAGTGAGTTCCTGGTCGTGTGATCGATTTTCAGTATCGAGTGAGTGTAGGTAGCAGCTGTTGATGAATGTCTGTAGTTTGTTGGAAATGCTTTTCGTAACACGCCAAGTCTCTCAATCATCACATTGAGGCACTGACTTACTTGACATTCGTGTTGAAAATTCGGATTTTGTTCTTTATGCTGAGTGCAGTGCAGTAGATCAGATCTCCACACTGATTTCGGGTTAATGAAGGCGTGTCTTGCTGTGTTTGCGATCCTGGCTTTGTCATCTTCATCTGTGCCTGTGCCGCCTATAGTTGAAATGAAGCTGCCTAGGTAAGTAGGTGAAAGAGACCAGTTCCTTTAGGTTTCCTGCCGTTGATGGTGATTGGTGTTTGTTTTTGTTGTTGTTGTTGTTGTTTGGGCATCTTCATCACCTCTGTCTGCTCCACGTTCACTTGAAGTCCCGTCTCCATAAGACTTCTCGACTGACGGAGTACAATGCCGCCTTCGGGTGGAGAAACACAGCTAGTGTCGGGCGTCAGTAAGTATGCCTTTGTTCCAGAACCTGGCGGTGTGAATATTTGGTAGATACACCCACGACCAGGTCTGAAGCTCACCTGATCTCGGATTTGCTATCCCCGAGTTTTATCCAGACTTCTAATGATTATCCAACTTAGTGTCTTAGACACTATGATCGTTAGGCTGAATCCCCTGTGGTTGTCGCAAGAGGACTTCTAGCCTATCTTGACGAGTTGGACAATCAGCGATTAAGACAAGTCAGAGGGAATCATATTTGACACTCATACACTATTTAACAATTCAGTTAATTTGGTCAGTAATCCTCTACTACCTTCTTCAAACACCACAGGAACTAGTGCTTATGGCCCTACTGTTCTTCCTCGGGTTACCTACAGCTTTCTGGACTTTTGTAAGTGTTTGGAGACTTATCTCGACGTCCCATTCAAAACCTCTACACAGACTTTCACTAACAACTCTCTGAGAGCCAGTCACGGTCTTCAACGCTGCATCTACAGTAGACTGGAAATAACGCCAAGCTTTTTTCTGATGAGTGATGTTATTTTGTTCTCATAACAGTCTAGCCAGTTTCTCAATAAAAGCGGCTCTAGTGCTCTCATTGCCAAGCTGCGCTTGTA